ATGCGGCGATATGAAAACAATGAAAGGAACTTAATAATGCCTACAGCCTAATGTAGTCTTCTGCAGTCACATATCGACACTTATGTAAAAAATCATAACTTACCCTCTGATTGCTCGAGGCCTCCAACAACGTGAGCTGCCCTGTGTGCTGACAAACAGAAACGTCCCATCTCATTGGCTGGCTCTAGCCAATAAACTGGCTTTGCTGCTCTTTTACTGGTATGTACATTACAGTAGAATTTATGATTTTTAACAAGAATCTCTTCAGAAAAGAGTTTAAATAAACCCTAGCTAATGAAATAATCGTGGGAAATTATTATTTTGCACCTCAGTCCTGTTGGCTGCTGGCATTGTTCATTGGTCAGGCTTCAGCCAATCAAACAGCTTTACACCTGCCCCGCCCCGCCCCTCCCCCGCCCCGCGCTGCTCACGCCTCTGCATCTGCGAGTGCACAGATGAGTTCTGCTACAGAGATCGCGGGTGATGTGTTGCACAAGTCAGAGCGCGGGAGATTTGTAGTTGTACTGACGAATCTGAGAGGTTGTGAGTGCCGACCTGTGGTTGTAGAGCAAAGATGCAATCAAATTTGCCGTGCACACGTGTGTCTGTCACTTTGTATTTGTGAATGACATTTTACAAATACACAACTATTAATCTGCAACTTTGAATTTAAAACACAAGTGTGTGGATTGTTGTGTGTGTGTGCAAATCGAGGATTTCAGCTGTTCACATCAGAGCTGTAAGTGTACATTTCAACCTACACATACAAATATTATTATCACAAGTGCTCACATTTACATTTGCAAGCTCTCGAGTTTCGCAACTGATTTACCTTCATACACTTCCAGCTGCAACCCATCACTAGGAAACATCCACACACACTCATTCACACACATCCACGGTGGACGATTTAGCCTACCCAATTCACCCATACTACGTCTTTGGACTGTGGGGGAAACCAGAGCACCCGGAGCGAACATGGGGAGAACATGCAAACTCCACACAGAAACGCCAACTGACCCAGACGAGGCTCGAACCAGTGACCTGCTTGCTGTGAGGCGCAAGTGCTACTCACTGTGCCACAGTGCTGCCACGTTAAAACCTGAACTACTTAATATTTAACTACATTAACCGCTCAGATCTCAAGCTAAATTTATCTGTATTTTTAACAAACTAATTTCCTGAACCTAATCAATATAATTTATAATAGCGCTATTTCACTGGCTCAGAATCTCCTAAAGTTAAGCTATTTCATTTCATCTGTGTACTTTGTCTAATTTATGGCCCAGTCAAGGATACACCAAAAAGGAAAAGAAATAATATTTTAAATCCAGGTCACTCAAGCTGCATAAGCCCCAGTCTTACATTACAAAGATTCATTGCTTGCTGCATTACTGTCCTCACAGCTCTCGCTCAATTAAGCTTTCATTACTTAATACTGTTCACTCAAGAGAGACACCTTGAGAGAAATCTGCAAATGAAACGACAGATGAATCAGAGCCGAGTTGCATTTGGGTCCCTCCTGCTCTTTAAAAGGAGCTGAGATACAACTGCACTTCACTGAACACATCGATTTTACACAGCAGAAAAGATGGACGCTCATTCAGCAGAGCAGATGGGGCAAAACAATAGATTATTTCATGATTAGTCTGGCAAAAATGCAAACTATTCAGTGTAAGGCAAATTTGTGTAACTTTTTAATAAAAAAAAATTAATCTCATTCTGATTTTAATTTATTTTAAAAAGCCCCTATTATGCATTAAAAATTGTCTTATCTTGGTTTTAAGTGGCTCCAACAAGATTTCCAAAAACACTTTCATTGTCTTATAATATGCATTTATTTTTACCTAATTATCCCAACGACTCCCATATAATTCATTCAGTGATTCATTTGTTCCCAAATCTCTCCTTAGTGCTTTGTAATCTACGCTGATTTGTCCAATGACGCAGTCTGTTGTGATTGGTCGACTGTGTTCAGAGCGAGACAGAAAGAAATGCTCACCAATGCAGTTAAACACCAGCAGATTGCTCTATTCTTAACCATACATGTAAGTAAAACAGTGACACACATTCAGTATTAATCCACACAGTGCCAAAAGCTGAACTATTTTTAAATTTGACCGATGCACGTGTGTAGGAACAGCTGCCATAGCAAAGACAAATGGCAGTGGATCGCAAGCTAACAAATGCATTTAAATCCACACATCCCAAGTCTACCGGAAGTTCCGGGAGTCTCCCGCAAATGCATAGAGACTCCCGGATGCAAATGAATGATAATTTTCCGAAAATCGCGTGTCTCTTGCCAGGTCCTCAAAAACATCTTGCACCCCTCTTCACCACATCACACCTCGCTCTTCAGATATGTCGGGCTGCACCTCCCCCTCCACCCGCAACCTCACACAAATTATCCCTGTCTCTCCCTGAAATTACTTTTCCCAACTTGCGATTTCTGTAAATCCGTAAACAAAGTGTCATGCATCAAGTTTTCAACATGGCTTTAGAGGCGATTCGAGAATATAAACAGACACGAGCGCAGTTACAAAATACAATTAAATACATAATTTGTAAGCTAAAGATAACAAGGAGGCGACCATTTTAATCAAACTTACTTACACTTGTGAAATGGAGGAAGAAACTGATCCATGAACTGTATACTGAAAGTTCAAGTCAAGCTCTGACAAAGTCCCATAAAGTCTTTTCTGATACTTCTTTTAACAAACAGCCGACGAATCCTCTTTGTAAGCATGTAGATTGGTGTAGCACACATCAGAAAAAGGATGGGAACACAGCACAAGGCTGGGGCTATAATGCTGAGGCATTTTTGCGAAAATAAACTTTAACCACTGACTCGTCACAACCTCATCTTTGGGTGTGGAAAATAACACCAACTTTCCGACACAGTTCAAAGCACAGCATCTATGCGACTTGACTCAACTGGGATCTGCTTTAGTGTTTGTCTTTTTCATTTTCTTTCTACAGTGTTTGTGGGCAGGGCCAGGGGTTTCAACTTTCTAGGGTCTGCGCGTGCATCAAATGGATGAGGCTTGAGTTCCATATTTATGTCACACCGACATGGCTAAATTCTCATTACAGTGGTGATTCATTCGAACCATTATTTATAGATGAATCAATAGTTTTAAACACGGTGAACTTTCAGATTTACGCCTTAGCTGGATATTTCCCTTCACTTAAATATGTGTTACACACTGCATGAAAGGTCATTTTAAAAAACTCATTTAATAAATGATGGCATCAACAAAATTCTTTTCATTGAAAAAACAATTTAACAAACAGAAAACAAAAACAAAGAAACATAACACTTATTTTGGCATTCCTAAATGATCATTAATAGCATAGAAATGTGTAAAGCACTGGTCATTTTCAATCCAAACATCTTTCTGTTGATCAGCTTGGTAAATTAGCATGACCAAATTTAACAGGAGCAAAATCCGCAATAATCCTCTAAACAATAAACTAAAACTGGTTGATTGTAAATATCCAACTATTCAACAATCATTTATTCATTCAATACAATCAAATGAATGATTCATCCAGCGATGAAGTAAACAGCTCTTTATAGGCTAGAAATATAAACAACTGGTTCACTTGATAAGTTCAAAACACAGACTAATTCATAAACAAAAACATCATAAAGATGCAGGGTTTCTGTTTTGGCTTAAAAAGAAATTATTAGAGCAAAAACTGACGGCATTGTATCTAAATATAACAGAATAATACCTTCTTATTTACAGAATCAGTGTCACTCACTATCCAGGAAAAAATAACCTTTATGAAATTATACTCATTAGTCGTGTGATATTGGTTTACTATTTTGTTATGCAAAAATTAGACAAAGTAACATGGGGCATTTTTGCCACAATATCATGGAAAATTCTTAGAAACAAATTATTAATTAATAAATAATAGTATTCTTTATT